GAAGCATCGACTACACCTGTTCGTGCCCAATTGGAATTGTGTTACACAACGGAAAAGCTTAAACGCATACCCATGAATTCATTGTGCCTCTGATCTGTAGGTTATTAACATTTATGCATATGAATATACATGAAAACATAAACTTTAACAAAATGAATAAATAAACAACCTATATGAAACAATCAAATAAAAAGTATGTGTCTATTGCATACATGCAAAGATTTGAACCAGATATTTAATCATTCTTAACCTTACCTTCTTTGAGATCTGGATTGTCATAGTGTATTTCCATCATGAAGTATGTGGCACCGCCATGTTCCTCGCCAATTGGGAAACCAGCATTATCAGGCAGGACTTCCCCTACACAACAGAGAACTTGTAAGACGTACTGAATATATCAAAGATTATTAGTAATAAGATCTTTTAACAACCTTAGAGGAACGTTCACCCAAGACATATTACCTTCGCCGCCGATGGCCCAGGCCACAAGAGGGCTCGTGCACTTTTTCCAAGAGATGGGCATGTTGGCACCATAGCACTGGGCACCTTGCACATCCAGCCACTTTTCGTAGTGACGAGCACTGTCCTCAAGGTGACATTCGTAGAACAAAATGTGGTGCACATGCTGGTGATTCCCTTCCTGAACTATTGGCACGTACTGCAATGAGCAAGGAGTCGACCAAATTGACTGAACTGTGATTTCTCACAAAGATATATGCTGTTGTGACTGTATTCAATCATTGCCTTGTCAGGCGCATGGGTGTAATTCACTATTTGGATATATATGTGTATAACTCCTCTCTCACCCCAATGACATGCGTCTTGCGTGTGATGGGTGGAATCTTGAAAAGTTTGCACCAGTACAGCGTCGTGAGGTTGTTTGGAATAGTCACCTGCTCGCCAAAACAAAAACATAAAAGATTACTGTATTAGGTAATCTAAGCTCTACCTTATTACAATATCCATACTAATCTATCCAGACACATTCTATCAAATTAAATCATTACTGAGAGAAACCTGGCTGCTCTTACATTTGGAGATAAAACATCCCAATGTTTTACGTCTTCACTGAATTTGGGAAGGGTGAATTGAGGTCCTTTTAGGGTGAGGCTCTTTGTGCCGCGGTGGTCGTGCCTCCTCATCAGGTCGCCGGCCGGGTCTTCGCTTCCGATGGCCCAGATCACTCGCACGGTGTCGCTCTGTGCATTCGCAGGAAAGTAATACGTTCAACGTTATTCGAAATAATGGTGACCTTCAAAAGGCTGTAAATTAATCAACTCGCTGTATATATATATATATATATATATATATATATATATATATATACATACTATAATAAGTCTAAATAAACTGAGTTCTTGTCTATTTTACAGTTCTGTAAAGCTACCTACTGATAATTCGAAATCTTGTTCGTCGCACGTGGACCAAGGCCTGGAGAACCTCAGTACAGTATGGGTGTCATTCTGATATCCTCCCAGAAGCTCCACGTCCTGCTGATCATCCTTCAAGGGTTGGCTGTAACCCGTGGCGTAGCTATCCTGAAACATCATCCTAAGATTAGCGATGAAGATCAAGTATACAGACAGATAACATTCAACAATCGTTTTGATCCCTGCCTCAACCAACACCGTTAGTTCATCCAGTCAAGCAAAATTGAAATTTCTCTTTGTGAAAGCATGCCTCCATCATGTTCGTTCACTTGCCTGCACCATGACCTCTCCGCCATCCGTGACCCAGCCGAGCACGATGTCTGAGCCCGCCATCCCGCCGTTGGGGGAGAACCCGAGGCCCACGTACCCCTTCGTCGCCACCTGCGGGAAGGGGTGTTCTCAGTTGTGCATTTATCCCCAGGTCTTTAGTGTGTGTGTGTGTGTGTGTGTGTGTGTGTGTGTGTGTGTGTGTGTGTGTGTGTGTGTGTGTGTGTGTGTGTGTGTGTGTGTGTGTGTGTGTGTGCGTGTGTGTTCTCTTACCTGTGCTTTCAATGCGAGAGAAGAACTTTCAGGCTATATTTGAATTACCGTATAACTTTAAATCGATGCACATTTTTGGCACAACACATCATTTGGGAGATTGATCCACGTTTCAATAGTTCTGTTTGGAAAACTGAACTTTTTGATATTCCTGTATATAATTTTATATGTATATGTGCGTGTACATGTGCGTGTGTGTGTGTTTGTTTAACTGGGGCTATTGCCTTTAAGAATAAATAAAACGCATTGCAATGACATCTACTCACTTGAACCTCAAAGATAATGTTGTTTTCCTTAGGCGTCCACAACATAACGAAGTCTCCCCTCTGGTCAAGCACAGCACGATGCATCATTTTATCGTTTTCTTTCATGCCTCTTCCTGCCGGGCTCGCGTTTTCTGGCTGATCTTTGCCGTTGACTTCATCTGCGTTTTCTGGCTGATCTTTCGCGTTGACCACATCTGCGTCCCTCTTGTTGTCTTCACCGATGTCGACTGGCTGAGTCGCTTCTGTGTGGAAGGAATTTGCTGTATTCTTTACTTACTGATACATGATTGATTAAAACTAATCCTTTGGTTATATATGAATTTACGGACAAACCTTAACCAATAGCATAGTACACTGACCAGAAACAGTAAAGGCAATGATAATTATGAGAATGATAAATACAACCCAAATATTTAGTAAAGTCCCCCATCTCAACCAACGATATGACCTGTTTTTCCCCCTTTGACCCGGAAGCGGAATCTGCTAGGGAAATACACGCTTTTCTATGAATAGCAACGGAAAGTCCGCCAAGCTCAGTGCTCACCGTCCTCTAAAGCTCCACAAGGTTTCTCTGGCTCTAGAGCTCCGAACGAGGGGTAGGCTCGATCCCCCTGGAAGAAGAATTACAAATGAATTAGATACTTCACTGATTTTGATATGGAGAGTACCCTTATCATAAATTAAAGTATTGTTGTCCATTATTACTGTATCATCATAGTTTTTTTAATATCTTACAATGTCCACAAATCTGAAAAGTCAGAGGGGGAGGGAAGGAGGGAGGAAGCCTGGGAAGGTGTGAGAAGGGAGGGAGGGAGGAAAGGAAGGAGAAGAGAGGGAGGGAGAGGAAAGGAAGGAGAAGAGAGGGGGGAGATGAAAGGAAGGAGGAAGAAAGGAAGTGTGGGAAGGGAGGGAGGGAAGGAGATGAGAGAGGGAGAGAGAAAGGGATTAAGGGAGGGAGGGAGAGAGAGATCGCATATCTACCCTCTTCTCCTTCGGTAGCGTTTCCTTCATGCTGGTCGCCAGGCAGATCGGGGTGAAGTTACCGAACTGGACTTCCTTTTGGAAATGCTCCAGGAGCATGTTGTCCTGCCACGTCGCCTTGTCGTGTAGTATTTCATAGAGAGACGTGTTGAAGCGTTCTGTGCGAGAGAAAATGGGAATCATGAACCAAAAGAAAACGCATTCCGGAGGAATGATGGTCGAGCGATGTGTGTGTAATATACGAATAAATATTATATAGATAGATAGATAGATATAGATATATAGATGCGTGTGTGTGGTATATTATATATATATATATATATATATATATATATATATATATATATATATATATATATATATATATATATATATATATATATATATTATATATAAATATATATATATATATATATATATATATATATATGAGTGAGTGTGGTATATATATATATATATATATATATATATATATATATATATATATATATATATATATATATATATATGTGTGTGTGTGTGTGTGTGTGTGTGTGTGTGTGTGTGTGTGTGTGTGTGTGTGTGTGTGTGTGTGTGTGTGTGTGTGTGTCTGTGTGTGTTAATGTATACAGTAATGTATACATACTAATATATGTATATATATATATATATATATTATAGAGAGAGAGAGAGAGAGAGAGAGAGAGAGAGAGAGAGAGAGAGAGAGAGAGAGAGAGAGAGAGAGAGAGAGAGAGAGAGGGAGAGAGAGAATGTATGTACTTCCATATGCAGCAGAATTTCCTTCACAATAACTCTCAAACGAAAAAGAAAACTTGGAAACGGCAACGACTGCCGCTCTGCCCCCCCCCCCTGCCCAGACCCCCAGATGCTTTGATCAACTCTTTCCTGAAGCCTCTTCCGCTGTATGCCGCACAGAGGAGGCTTCAACCTCTGAATGAATTAACAGAAAAGAGAGTAAGGACGGTGCTAATCCACCAAGAGAAAGAGGAAGAAGAGGAAGAGGTGTAGAAAGGGGAAGAGGAGGAAGAGATAGCGATGATAATGAGGAGGAGGAGAAAAATGGAGGAGGAGGAATATAGTAGTAGTAATAATAATGATAATAATTATTATTGTTATTATTATAATAATCATCATTATCATCATCACCATCATTATTATTAATATCATCATAATTATAATAACAATAATAATAATAACATTAATAAGAGGAGGAGGAGGAGCTGGAAGTAGAGGAAGAGAGCAAGGACGCCCCTCCCGCTCCGCCCCAACCTACTTTGCGGCGCCTTGGCAACGATGCCATACAGCAGCTTGGAGATCTCGATGGCTTCAATCTTGGCCGTGAAGTTTTTGCTCATCATCTGTTCCGCCAGGAGAGCCTCCTCCTCCTCGTCCGGTTGTCTGAAGGGGAACTAAAATTTAGAATTCAGAAACAGAATTTCTAGAACGGAACTAGGATGTGAATAAAGGCTAGAATTCCCCGTCGTGCTTTTTGTCCATCGGTTTAGGAAACAAACTCTCACTTAGCATGTCATCTCCAGTTGTTATGGCACTATTTACTATCGCTCACGTAGTTTTAAATGAAGGTATGTCTACTCGTGTCTCTACTGCTGATAAATTGATGCAGAAGCAAAAATGCGTACACGCGCACATATACATGCACAAATGTATGTGTGATGTGTATGTATTCGAACAAATGAAAATACTTACGTCTTTTTTACAAACTTTTCCCTGCAAAGGAACATAAATTTCCATTAACTTATGTATTTCTACAGTGATATCAATA